CTGCCTGGAGTGCACTGCCCCCTCTTCTCTGGATGGCAAATTCTGCTCATCCTCAGAGCTCTGGTCAAAAGCGAACTCTCCCTCCCAGACCCCAGCAAACGGTGAGCAACCGTCCGCACCTTGCACGTGGCCTGCTGTTTCCTCCAACAGAAAAACACCCCCAGCTCTGGGTGCCAGCACCAAACCCAGTGCCTGGCACCTAGGAGATGACTAATAAAAGCTTGTGATGCTCACAGTCTAGGAAGAAAGGTCACCATCGGAACGCAACGCAGATCAGAGATGGTCCCAGGGCAGTGGGAGCACAAGGGAGTGGTTCCCAGAGGAAGCAGCCGCCGGGCTACCCCGTGGTCAAGAATAGAAGCATCCAGCAACGGGCAGAGATGGCGTTCCCGGCTGGAGGGCGGCCATGAGCAAAGGTGTGGGGGACAGGACGTAGGATGGTGGAAGAATTTAATAACAGCAGCTGACACCCACTGGGTGCTTCCCATGTGCCAGACGCCATGCGAAGCTCCTAACTTACGTAGGATGGTGGAAGAATTTAATAACAGCAGCCGATACCCACTGGGTGCTTCCCATGTGCCAGACGCCAGGCGAAGCTCCTAACTCAGTGGTTCTCAACCTTCCTGGTGCCGTGACCCTTTAATACAGGTCCTCATGTTGTGGTGACCCCCAACCATAAAATTATTTTCGTTGCTGCTTCACAACTGTAAATGTTGCTACTGTTATAAATCATCATGTAAATATCTGATAAGCAGGATGTATTTTCATTGTTTGCGACAACATCATGGGAAACAGCTCCCAAGAAAGGCAAGCTGCGGCCAACCTTCGGAGAGCAAGCCTCCGTCCTTCCTCTCATGGCAGTGGGAGCCACGGATGGTGAAGACAAAGAGTCACTAAGACCTCCATCACAGCAGGGCTCTCTGCCTGTCCCTGGATGAGAACAGATGAGGTCTCCTGGCCAGGCTCAGAGACCGCTGACTCGAAGTCTCCGTCATGACCCCCCGGCCCTGGTACTGGGGAGGGGAGAGGCCAAGGTCGGTGGGCGTGCCCCAGCTGAAGAGGTGGCTCAGGTAGAGCCCAGGCGTCCACCCGCCTCCCCACCCATCCTCCAGCTGCACCCCACGGTCTCACCGCCCCCCTGCTGCCCGCCTGGGTGAGCAAGGCTACAAGGACCTCAACCCAATCAGCACCCAAGCAGAGCCGGGAACTCTGGCCCTGAGAGCCCATCGCAGCTCCTGTCCTCTCGTCAAAACAGAGAACCAGGCCTGGGGGGCTGGGGCTCGACATGGGTGCTGGGACTGTCCTGGCCGCGTCGAGGCGGCGTGGAGAGGCCTGGGCAGACCTGGCAGGCTGGACGCTGGGCCCGGCTATGCTGCCCAGTGGCCTTCCGGCTGGAGCAGCACAGTCCAGTCCAAACCCCAGCATGAACTGCGCCCGAGACCGGGCCGAGCGAGCTGGCTGCCTGGTTCTCAGTCCCCGGATCCACAGACCGAGGACGGTGGCGGCACCTGTCTCCCACTTTGCCCATGAGGGTCAGACAAACGTGAAGACGGTGCAGGTAGGGGAACCAGAAGGCTCCAGGGGTCTCCCACCTGCAGGCCTGTCCCAGGGGAAGAAGAATTCTGTTTCTTAATGGAACGGACGAGCACACAGAAGCCTGTCTCCCTTCAAGTGAATCCAACTACGGTGACCCCGTGTTTCAGGCACGTGCACACGGGTTCTCTCGCTGGGGTACGGACAGAAGAGTTTTGGAAATGTGGCCTGGTGGGCGCGAGCAGGATGCTGGGGCCAGAAGGCCCGGCTACTCCACTTCCCGTCCTCAGCAGCCCCCTCTGCGTCTCCCTGTTTCATTGTACAATTCAGCCAGTTAAAACATGGCGCTCTTATGGCCTGGCCGGTTTGGCTCAGTGGATAGAGTATCGGCCTTCGAACTGAAGGGTCGCAGGTTTGATTCCGGTCAAGGGCATATGCCTGGGTTGTGGGCTCGATCCCCAGTGGGGGACTTGCAGGAGGCAGCTGATCCATGATTCTCTCTGATCATGGATGTTTCTATCTCTCTCTCCCTCTTCCTTCCTCTGAAATCAATAAAAATATTTTTTTAAAAAACAAACATGGCGGGCTTCTCCGCCCGCTTCACACCCACAGCCCATTCACCACCACGGCTTCCCCAAGGACCCAGGGAGCAGCCTGCACCGCCTCCACCCTGCCTCAGCATGCCCCTCCCGTCCCTGCAATCCCAGGGTGGGAGCAACTCCACCCTCCAACCGGGTTTCAGGCTTTTTTTTTAATAACATTTTATTATTTTTCCATTAGAGTTGAGGTTTACAGATGTCCTCTCTTTCCCCCCACTAACCCCCTCCACCTCCCTCCCCTCCTTTCCCTCCCCAGGCCTTCCCAGCACTATTGTCTGTCCGTGAGCTATGCATATAGGCACATAAGTTCATTGGTTAATGTCTTCCCGCTTCCCCTCCCCTCTGAAATACATCAGTCTGTTGCCTGCTTCGGTGTCTTATTGCCAAGTCCTGCACTTCCTGAAGACACACATCAGGCAGCCCCTCCTTCAGGACCCCCCTTGCCCACCTCCCTGAGGGACCAAGTAACTTCTCTGAGCCCCCACAGCCCCGGGCTACTAGCGCTTGGCACCTGGGCTCGCTGAGGGCAGGGTCCAGACCAGGTCCCTCTCAGTCCCGGGCCTCAGCACCCAAGCAAGCAGCAGGGGACAGAGGAACATGGTACGAGCAGGGCTGCCTGCTCCAACCTCCTGGGACTCCTGGGTCTCCAGCAACACAATCCGACTGCCCCCCAACCCTGCCTGTGGGCAGTGAGAGGATGGGGTAACGGTAACCTATCCGCCAGGTGAGGGCTCCCAGTCCCTCCCCTGGGATCAGGTCAGGAGGTCAGGTCACAGGAAGGCAGGGGTCGGGCCGTCCTTCACTCTGCCAGCTCGGGCAGTGGTGGCCCAGTGGCCTGGATGAGTGCCCCCAGCCCCAACCCAGGGCACTGTGGGAAGATCTCTGGGCAGCGTACATGGCGGCTTTGTTCAGGTCAGGGACCCAGAGACCTGAGCAAGTCACACAGATGACCTCACTTAACCCTGCCAGCAACCCTACGGAGACATCTGTTACGCCCCCCATGTTGAGAAGGGGAAACTGAGGCATGGGGAAGTTATAACTAGACAAGGGTTGCACAGCGGGTGGGTGGTACAGTTGGGCAATGACCTATTCAGGCCCCTGGGCAAACCGAAGGGGCCTGGATCCTGAGGCTATGTCAGTGGTTGCAAACTCATTAGTCAACAGAGCCAAATATCAACAGTACAATGATTGAAAGTTCTTTTGAGAGCCAAATATTTTAACTTAAACTATATAGGGACGATTGAAACTTCGTGGCCCATGCGCAGAAGTCGGTGTTTTGTGGAAGAGCCACACTCAAGGGGCCAAAGAGCCGCATGTGGCTCGCGAGCCGCGGTTTGCCGACCACTGGGCTATGTGAATAAGCGGGGGCAGGGGCGGGTACTGGCCAGGGGCACGGCACCTGGTCCTCTCCCCACACGCCCCTCCATACTCAGCGCCTCACTGTCTCCCAGCCTGTCCACCGTCCATCTATCCGTCCGCCTGCCCCAGCACGAGCCGTGGTTTGCCGACCACTGGGCTATGTGAATAAGTGGGGGCAGGGGCGGGATTCTGGCCAGGAGCACGGCACCTGGTCCTCTCCCCACACACCCCTCCATACTCAGCGCCTCACTGTCTCCCAGCCTGTCCACCGTCCATCTATCCGTCCGCCTGCCCCAGCACCCCCACTGCCCACCTCCTCTGCCCTGCCCCAAGGCCCCAGGAACCCAGCAGGGCAGGGGAGAGAGGGCTGGGAATACCCAGCGTGGAGTGAGCACTGAACACAAGTGGGAGATTAAAGTGACTCAGACCAGCGGTCACCAACTGGAGGTCCGCGGACCCCTGGTGGTCTGTGAGGTCCGAAAGGTTGGCGACCGCTGATTTAGATGGCCCTGGCCAGTGTGTTCAGTGGTTAGAGCATCCGCCTGGCACCGAAGGGTGGAGATTTGATTCCCAGTCAAGAGCATGTACTGTGGTTGCAGGTTCAATCCCCAGCCTGGTCAGGGCCCGTGCAGGAGGCATCCAAGTCTCTCTAGCTCTTTTCCCTCCCTCTCTCCCTCCCTTCATTCTCTCTAAAAGTCGATGGAAAAAATTCTCTCAGGTGAGGATTAAGCCAAAAAATGTGACTTAGACAGAAGGAAGGCACCCAGGAACCCCCACTCCACCACTCAGAGGCCTTGGGACAAACTCCTGACTCCGAGCCTCGTGTTCCCCATCTGAATAAGGCGGCTAGAAATGCCAGCCTGCAGGCCACTCTGAGAATTAAGCAACAAGGACAACAATGACATTAGCTCAGAGCTGGCACTACCACTCACTCTGAGCCACTGTAATAGGAATACAGGAACCCCCACAACAACCTAAGGGGACAGGCACAATTGTGACCCCATTTTACAGAGCAGGAAACTGAGGCACTGGGAAACTAAGTCACATGCCCAAGATTCCACAGTGGAGCAAGATTTCAGCTGACTGACACACGGTCTCCCGCACTGAACTGTCACACGGCCCCAGGACACATGCCCCGCACCTCACCTCCCTCCCTGTCTGTGCCTCAACCTCTTTCTCTCTCTGTCCCCCACCTCTGCCTCCATCCTGACCTGTGTTCTCCCCCATCTCCCTCCTCCTCGGGAATAGCAGGGGCATCAGAGGCGGCCCCCTGATCACACGGCTCCTGCTCCCTTTGCCACATCCCGGCGCCCCCTGGACGAGAGCCAAGACCCCTTCTGCAGGCCTGAGCCGGAGGGAGGAAGGGCCAAGTCAGGCAGGAAGGGAGGTGCTCCACCCCTTCCCTCAGAAGCACGTCCTGCACAGGGAGAAACAATGTCACGCTGGGCCCACTGCCGGGGCGGAGGCGGGGGGCAGGGCTCTGGACTCGGGCCTGGCCAAGCTGCGTCCAGGGGGCGGGAGGCCCCCGGTCCTGCTCTGCCCTGGTTTCCTGGTGACCTGTGCTCTGTATCCAGCACCCCCACTTTCCAGCTCTGACCTCAGTGCTTCCTACGCCCTTTCCAAAACCCATGTCTGATCAGGTCACCGTGGCCTTGGGCCAGGGCACTTCCCAGCTGTGTAACCTCGGGCAAGGTGCTTAACCTCTCTGAGCCCCAGTTTCTTCCCTAGGAAACCGGGATAATCATAATAGCGCCTTCCTCCAGGGACAGAGAGAACGCCCGAAGGCAGCCAGCAGCGGGCCTGCAGTCAGCAATAGCTAATCCCTCGCAGGTTTCCCAGAGTGCACCAGCCAAAGTCCACACTTCTCCAGCCTGACTCAGCCTTCCTCCCCAGCCCCACTCCCACGTGCACCAGTCAACGCCAAACTCCAAGCCGGTCCCAAACAGCCTCTGTTCTCTGCCTCTTCCAGTCATCGGCTGCCCTCCCTACCTGCCCTCTCTCCGTGGCTAGGTTCAAAGGCCACACTGTCAGCCTGGCCTCCCTCTCTCCCCTCCTGAGGTCCGCTCCAAAGCCTGGCCGGGGAGGCCCTTCGCGACCAACACGCAGAGCTCACTGCCTCCAGCACGCTCTGAGCCAATGTGTTTCTTGGCTCCTGAGGGGCCCCACCCCACCCACAGCTCAAAGCTTTGGGCGGGAGCTCAGAGCTGGGAGGACAGGCAGAGGGTCGGTGCCCGTACAAGTACAACTACCATTAACTCAGCATCTGCTATGTGCCTGGCAAAGCTAGGTGCTGGGCTGACATGAGTCCTATGCCTCACACCACCCACATGCAGAAGAGAGCTCACTGCTCCCGGTGAGGACACTGAGAAAGGTCACACAGATGATAAACGGTGGCGATGGGGTTGGAACCCAACTGACAGCTGCATAAACCAAAGGCTTAGCTCTGCTCCCTCCCACCTCACCCTGCTCGCCCTGCTCCAGGCCCTGAGATGCAGGCCGCCCCCTCCCCGCACCCACGCGTCTGTACCTGCCCAGGAGATCCAGGCCGCAGCCTCTGGCCAGGAGACCGTCCGGCTTTCCCAGCGGCCACACGCTGTCGGAGGATGAGGATGAGGAGAGGCCGGGGGACCAGGGTTTAAGCGTTACACTCCCTGGGGAGAAGGAGTGAGGGTCAAGGGCACTGGACTGAAACACGGGGGAGGGCCCAAGACCACCCACAGCCCAGAGGCCTGGGGCCGAGGCAGGTTGGAGGCCCCAAGAACGCAGGGGACCCACTGGGCTCAGGGCTGGGCTGGTGCCTGCCAGGACGGCCCTGCAGTTTCCTAGGAGAGGGTGAAGGGTGGACCAGAACTGAGGGCCCCCTCCACCCCCGCACAGCACAGCCAGGACCAGGGCTGAGGGCATGGCTGGGCCTGGGGGAGGGAGTCACAGGTCAAGGGCAGAGCAGGCAGCACAGGCCTCAGGTAAACTGAAAAGCTCTCCTCCCCGCCACCCCCTTACCCCCGCCCCGTGAGCTCTCCCCATGGAGTGTCCGAGGGCCCTTACCTGTGATGTCGGACATGCTGCTGAAGGACCTGGGCAGAGAGAGGACGGGCGGGAGGGGCAGGAGCTGAGAGTCCGTGGGCATCTGCCCCACTCCCTCCTCCTGCCCCTATGCCACCAAGCGGCCCTGCAGCCCCCAAGCTCAGGCAGGCTAGAGCAGGCGGGAGTCCCAGGCACAGGGCACGCATGCCACCCAGCTCCCCTAAACTCACAGGGCAAGAAGGTAGCACCCTGGCCGCAGCCCATGGCCTTCCACCTAGAATGCCCCGGCCTGTTCTTTAACGCCACCCCCTCCAGGAGGCCTCCCCTGACCTCTCAGCCCCACCTCATCCGCACTTTCTACATTGTCGTTGGTGGCTCCTGGGCTGCCTCTCACACTAGATCAAGCATGTCAAACTCATGGCCATGACATGCTCGCACTAGACCAGTGGTTCTCAACCTTCTGGCCCTTTAAATACAGTTCCTCATGTTGTGACCCAACCATAAAATTATTTTCGTTGCTACTTCATCACTGTCATGTTGCTACTGTTATGAATCGTCATGTAAATGTCTGATATGCAGGATGGTCTTAGGCGACCCCTGTGAAAGGGGCGGTCGACCGCCAAAGGGGTCGCGACCCACAGGTTGAGAACCGCTGCACTAGATCATGATCTCCTCATCACACACCCACTCCTGGCAGATTCCCCCATCCGGGATCAAGCCCGCGACTGGGCCCTACACCAGGAAGGGAGGTCGTCCCCACCCTCGGTCCCGCCACCAGTGGACATGGCCGCCTTTTCTGGCCCCATTGCCTGCTGATGCCCACACCTGAGGCCAGCTTTCTTGCCTGAGGCCCTGACACCTGGAAATATTCTCTGCAGGCCCGCGTCCTAGACCAGGGGTGGGGAACCTTCACTCTGCCAAGGGCCATGTGGATTTTTATAACATCATTCAAGGGCCACACAACATTGTCCACTTAAAAGTTAGCTGCTGTTTAGAGCAAGAGCAATTCAATGAAAAAACACACATGAAGATCAAATAGTAAGATGCCCTGGGCGTGGTAGATGTTCACATTGTTGGGGGGGTGGAGGAGGTAAGAACTAGGGGAGGCTGGGGGAAGGTCATGGGGGGGGGGAAAGGAGACATATGTACTACTATTTGTAATACTTTAAACAATAAAATAAAATTTAAAAAAAAGTTAGCTGCTCTATTTGGTCAGACATTTAATTAACTCACCCCCGATGGCTTGGCAGGGCCAGACCAGATGGCGTCACGGGCCTGCTACAGCCCATGGGCCAGACGTTCCCCCCTCCTGGCCTAAATCATCAGGCTTCCCCTGGGCTGAGCAACTTTGCGGTCCAGTTTCTAGTGACTCAGAGGCCAGAGTGTTGGGTTGGGGCTCAGCCCATTCTGCCCTTTGGCCTTGTCTTAACCTCTGACCTCAGGCACGCCCCTGCTCTCAGGGCCTGGGTTCCCAGCGCTCTAGCCATTTAAAGGCAGCTGGGGAGGTGACCGCCAAGTGTTGACGCTGGCATGAGGGATTCTGGGAGGTGGCTGGACCTCTGCCACTCTCTTTCCAGCCTGTTTACCTTTTGGGTGTGTTTTTTCCCACATCGATTGGTTGCCTCCCAGGCCAGGGATCCAGCCAGCAACCAAGGTGCGTGCCCTCGACTGAAATCGAACCCAGGACCCAGGACCCTTCAGTCTGCAGGCCGACTCTCTATCCCCCGAGCCAAACCGGCCAGGGCCTGTTTACCTCTTAGCAGGCGCAGGGTCCTCCTCGCGCTGCCGGCGGAGGATGGAGCCTGCGCTGGGAGGGAAGGGCAGGATGGATAGCCGGTTGATCTCTTTCTCATTGTCTGTAGCCTCCTCCTGCAAGGTCACAACGGGGCCTGGGTCACCCCCACTAAACCTTCCCCCAACTCAATGCACCTAGGTCTGTGCCCATTCCACAGATGAGAACTGGGGCCCAGAGCGGAGGAGTGAGCTCCACAAGATTACAGTGTGAGTGGCCCCCAGGTCTCCTGGTACCAGGCCCAGCTGGCTCTGGATAAGCTTAATAAGGTGCTTACCTTTGTGGGTCTCAATTTCCTCCTATGTGAAATACATTCCACGGTATGTGCAAAGGCCCTGAGGCAGGGCTCTGACACCTTCCAGGAATTCTAAGGCTGAGACCCAGAGAACCAGGCTAGAGGAAGGGAGGGGGCCCCCCTAAGGGCCTCTGGGGCCTAGTAAGGGCTTTGTCAGCCAACTGGAGGGCACTCCCCACGTTAGTAATTATGTGAACACTGTCAGTGTCCCCCCATACTCAGGTGGGCAGGTGTCTTACCGAGATGTGGGGCTCGGATCCCCCCAGGACAGTGGCCTCCCCGGCTGCATCTGGGCCTCCAAGCGGGGAGGGGAACTCGCTCAGGCTCCAGGTACTGCTGAGGTTGGAGCACAGGGAGTGGGAGGAGGTGCAGGCCTGGGAGAGGAAGGGGGAGGGATGAGGTCAGCAGTGCTGGGCCAGGGCCAGCCCCAGTCACTTAGTGAGCGCCTGCCCTCACGGAGCGCTCAGCCCAGGACACAAGCTGTAAACAAGCAGACAGATGAAGGAAATAGCCCTACACTGCCGGAGCGGAGCGCAGGGGAGGCACTCAGAGGCCCACAGCCTGGCAGCATCCGCGTGCTTTCCAGAGCAAGTGTGCGTTACACGGAGAGCTCAAGGATAAGCAGGCGCTGAAGAGATAAAGTTGGGGAGGATGGCCCAGCGGTTCTCAACCTGTGGGTCGTGACCCCTGAAAATACATCCTGCATATCAGATATTTACATTACGATTCCTAACAGTAGCAAAATGACAGTTATCAAGTAGCAACGAAAATAATTTTATGATTGGGGGTCACCACATGAGGAACTATATGAAAGGGTGGCGGCATGAGGAAGGTTGAGAACCACTGCTCTAGGCAGAAAGAACAGTATGTGCAAAGGCCCTGAGTCAGGACTGTGACACCTTCCAGGAGCCCAGAGGACCAGGCTAGAAGGAGGGGAGGGCCTCCCTGAAGGGCCTCTAGGGCATAGGAAGGGCTTTGTCTTTACCTAAGAGCAAAACACCCCTGAGGGTTTTAAAAAGTGAGAAGTCACAGACTCACACTTCCTTTGTTCTGCTGCTCCGGGTATTAAACACCTGGCCTGTTGATTATCTCCGAGGAAAATCAAGATAAGAAAAGGCCGAGTTCCTGGCAGACTCCAAGATCTAGTATCTAGTTCTCAAGGGGCTTGCGGGCACAGCTCCAGCGCTGTCAGGCTGTGTGACCTTGGGCAAGCCCTGCCCCTCTCTGGGCCCTGTGCAATGAGGGCACCGGACTAGCTGGTCTCTGAGGGGCTTTTAGGGCCCATGTTTTGCATTCCAAGATGCTCACAGGCCCTCAGGCCACTGGGCTTCTCCAAGGGTTTGCAAAGACAGGCTTCAAACTAGTCTTGGTGCCCCAGCAGCAAGCCCGGGAGCTCAGAGACCCACATGCCTCATGCCTCTGTCCCGTTCCCTATTCACCAACCCACACCCACCCTAGCTGGGGTCCCCCACCAGACCGGCATATCCTCCCCTCCTGGCCAAGAGCTCTCTCCAAGCCAGCATGTTCTTGACCCAGGTGAGGGCTCCAGCCAGGACCCACATTCCCTCCCAAAACCCTCTTAGGCCCAGCTGAGCGTTCCCAGTGGGTCCCATGTCATCCCACCACCGCTGATGGCTCCCATCAATCCTGCCAGTTCCCCCATGTTCCTACCCTCAACCGAGGTCTCCCACCAGGTCCCACCCCTGGCCAAAAGCTCCTGCCAGGGCCCCAGCATGCCAACCAGGACCCTGTACTCCTCCTGCCCATCACCTTGAGGCAGGGCCCGCCCTGGGCCCGCTGCAGCTGCGCCTCCAGCAGGGCCTTGGTGCCCTCCAGGCTGGTGAGCGTGGTCAGCAGCTCGTCCCGCTCGGCCTCCAGGCTCCGCACCTGCTTGCGGTACTGGTCCTTCTCGATGAGGCTCTGCGAGTACTGCAGCTGGATGTGGTCGCGGCTCTGGATGGCCTGGGAGGGCGAAGGCGCCCCACTGCCTCAGCTGGC